CTTTCTACTTCTTACATGTTGAACTCAAATACCTGTACTTTCTACTTCTTACATGTTGAACTCAAATACCTGTACTTTCTACTTCTTACATGTTGAACACAATACCTGTACTTTCTACTTCTCACATGTTGAACACAAATACCTGTACTTTCTACTTCTCACATGTTGAACACAAATACCTGTACTTTCTACTTCTTACATGTTGAACACAAATACCTGTACTTTCTACTTCTTACATGTTGAACTCAAATACCTGTACTTTCTACTTCTTACATGTTGAACTCAAATACCTGTACTTTCTACTTCTTACATGTTGAACTCAAATACCTGTACTTTCTACTTCTTACATGTTGAACACAAATACCTGTACTTTCTACTTCTTACATGTTGAACACAAATACCTGTACTTTCTACTTCTCACATGTTGAACACAAATACCTGTACTTTCTACTTCTTACATGTTGAACTCAAATACCTGTACTTTCTACTTCTTACATGTTGAACTCAAATACCTGTACTTTCTACTTCTTACATGTTGAACTCAAATACCTGTACTTTCTACTTCTTACATGTTGAACACAAATACCTGTACTTTCTACTTCTTACATGTTGAACTCAAATACCTGTACTTTCTACTTCTTACATGTTGAACTCAAATACCTGTACTTTCTACTTCTTACATGTTGAACTCAAATACCTGTACTTTCTACTTCTTACATGTTGAACTCAAATACCTGTAACTTTCTACTTCTTACATGTTGAACACAAATACCTGTACTTTCTACTTCTTACATGTTGAATACAAATACCTGTACTTTCTACTTCTTACATGTTGAACTCAAATACCTGTACTTTCTACTTCTCACATGTTGAACACAAATACCTGTACTTTCTACTTCTTACATGTTGAACTCAAATACCTGTACTTTCTACTTCTTACATGTTGAACTCAAATACCTGTACTTTCTACTTCTTACATGTTGAACACAAATACCTGTACTTTCTACTTCTCACATGTTGAACTCAAATACCTGTACTTTCTACTTCTCACATGTTGAATACAAATACCTGACTTTCTACTTCTTACATGTTGAACACAAATACCTGTACTTTCTACTTCTTACATGTTGAACACAAATACCTGTACTTTCTACTTCTTACATGTTGAACTCAAATACCTGTACTTTCTACTTCTCACATGTTGAACACAAATACCTGTACTTTCTACTTCTTACATGTTGAACTCAAATACCTGTACTTTCTACTTCTTACATGTTGAACTCAAATACCTGTACTTTCTACTTCTTACATGTTGAACTCAAATACCTGTACTTTCTACTTCTCACATGTTGAATACAAATACCTGACTTTCTACTTCTTACATGTTGAACTCAAATACCTGTACTTTCTACTTCTTACATGTTGAACACAAATACCTGTACTTTCTACTTCTTACATGTTGAACTCAAATACCTGTACTTTCTACTTCTTACATGTTGAACACAAATACCTGTACTTTCTACTTCTCACATGTTGAACTCAAATACCTGTACTTTCTACTTCTTACATGTTGAACTCAAATACCTGTACTTTCTACTTCTTACATGCTGAACTCAAATACCTGTACTTTCTACTTCTTACATGTTGAACTCAAATACCTGTACTTTCTACTTCTTACATGTTGAACTCAAATACCTGTACTTTCTACTTCTTACATGTTGAACTCAAATACCTGTACTTTCTACTTCTTACATGTTGAACACAAATACCTGTACTTTCTACTTCTCACATGTTGAACACAAATACCCGACTTTCTACTTCTTACATGTTGAACACAAATACCTGTACTTTCTACTTCTTACATGTTGAACTCAAATACCTGTACTTTCTACTTCTCACATGTTGAACACAAATACCTGTACTTTCTACTTCTTACATGTTGAACACAAATACCTGTACTTTCTACTTCTTACATGTTGAACTCAAATACCTGTACTTTCTACTTCTCACATGTTGAACACAAATACCTGTACTTTCTACTTCTCACATGTTGAATACAAATACCTGACTTTCTACTTCTTACATGTTGAACTCAAATACCTGTACTTTCTACTTCTCACATGTTGAACACAAATACCCGACTTTCTACTTCTTACATGTTGAACACAAATACCTGTACTTTCTACTTCTCACATGTTGAACACAAATACCTGTACTTTCTACTTCTCACATGTTGAACACAAATACCTGTACTTTCTACTTCTTACATGTTGAACCCAAATACCCGACTTTCTACTTCTTACATGTTGAACACAAATACCTGTACTTTCTACTTCTTACATGTTGAACACAAATACCTGTACTTTCTACTTCTCACATGTTGAACACAAATACCTGTACTTTCTACTTCTTACATGTTGAACACAAATACCTGTACTTTCTACTTCTTACATGTTGAACACAAATACCTGTACTTTCTACTTCTTACATGTTGAACACAAATACCTGGTACTTTCTACTTCTTACATGTTGAACACAAATACCTGTACTTTCTACTTCTTACATGTTGAACTCAAATACCTGTACTTTCTACTTCTTACATGTTGAACACAAATACCTGTACTTTCTACTTCTTACATGTTGAACTCAATACCTGTACTTTCTACTTCTTACATGTCGAACACAAATACCTGTACTTTCTACTTCTTACATGTTGAACACAAATACCTGTACTTTCTACTTCTTACATGTTGGAACTCAAATACCTGTACTTTCTACTCTTACATGTTGAACTCAAATACCTGTACTTTCTACTTCTTACATGTTGAACTCAAATACCTGTACTTTCTACTTCTTACATGTTTGAACTCAAATACTTGTACTTTCTACTTCTTACATGTTGAACACAAATACCTGTACTTTCTACTTCTTACATGTTGAACACAAATACCTGTACTTTCTACTTCTTACATGTTGAACACAAATACCTGTACTTTCTACTTCTTACATGTTGAACTCAAATACCTGTACTTTCTACTTCTTACATGTTGAACTCAAATACCTTGTACTTTCTACTTCTTACATGTTGAACTCAAATACCTGTACTTTCTACTTCTTACATGTTGAACTCAAATACCTGTACTTTCTACTTCTTACATGTTGAACTCAAATACCTGTACTTTCTACTTCTTACATGTTGAACTCAAATACTTGTACTTTCTACTTCTTACATGTTGAACCCAAATACCTGTACTTTCTACTTCTTACATGTTGAACTCAAATACCTGTACTTTCTACTTCTTACATGTTGAACTCAATACCTGTACTTTCTACTTCTTACATGTTGAACCCAAATACCTGTACTTTCTACTTCTTACATGTTGAACTCAAATACCTGTACTTTCTACTTCTTACATGTTGAACTCAAATACTGTACTTTCTACTTCTTACATGTTGAACTCAAATACCTTGTACTTTCTACTTCTTACATGTTGAACACAAATACCTGTACTTTCTACTTCTTACATGTTGAACACAAATACCTGTACTTTCTACTTCTTACATGTTGAACTCAAATACCTGTACTTTCTACTTCTTACATGTTGAACTCAAATACCTGTACTTTCTACTTCTTACATGTTGAACTCAAATACCTGTACTTTCTACTTCTTACATGTTGAACTCAAATACCTGTACTTTCTACTTCTTACATGTTGAACTCAATACCTGTACTTACTTCTTACATGTTGAACACAAATACCTGTACTTTCTACTTCTTACATGTTGAACTCAAATACCTGTACTTTCTACTTCTTACATGTTGAACTCAAATACCTGTACTTTCTACTTCTTACATGTTGAACTCAAATACCTGTACTTTCTACTTCTTACATGTTGAACTCAAATACCTGTACTTTCTACTTCTCTCATTTTCCAAACAGCTGGTTCCTTAGTCTGAATGTGTGTTTGATGCGTGATCATTATTCTTTAGAGTCATTGCGTGCCTATTGATTTGAACACGATCCGTGTATCCATCATTTCCTGGTCTTCTCTAAAGAAGAGGGACCAATGGAAACGTTGTCATGTTGCCGTTGTTCAGCATGGAAACATTCATTAGCTAACAATGACATTATTGTTCTATTGATATAAAGGGAGGTCAGGTACTCTTTAAAGCAGCTGCTAGTTATGGGTACTTTTTACTGAAGTACATTTCAAAGCCTCTTTACTTTCACTTGAGTAAAGAAGTTTAGTCAGTACTTCTACTTTCACCAGAGTATTTTTAAACACGAGTATCTGTACTTCTACTTGAGTAAAGGATGTGTGTACTTTTGCCATCTCTGATTCTAACCTCTGATCATGACCTTGTTCTGATATCATTTCTTATTGTAACACCCAGTAGGAGTGACTCACCATTGGGCACGCTGCTGTCCTTGGCTAGGTAACTGAAGATGTCTGAGATCACCTGAGAGATGAGGGCCAACGCGATGCTCCCGGTGTGTGTCACTGCATGTTCAATATTCCTCACAGAGACGGGAGACATCTTGAACCTCCGCTCAGAGACGACAACTCAAACTGTGAAGCACAATATTTGTCACCTTAATCTAATATGGTGGACTTTGGATTGATGCATGTACTTTCCAATTTTATAGCAGGTTATCCGTTTGATTACACTTATCATTGCCCTGTAATCGGCGTGTGTCGGTGTATGCAGGGTTGAGAGGGTTACTTAAAGAGGCCCTATTCTGCTTTTTGGGGTTATCCCTTCCCCATAGTGTGTTATATAGGTTTTAGTGCATGTAAATGGTCTGCAAGGGCTAAAATCAGAGGTCCCAGAGGGATGCCATAATAGGGCTCCTTTAAAATTCACATCAGTTTTGATCTTTATGCACTAAAATATGATTAAATAACCATTTTTTCAATAATCTTAATAACCCACCATTTGTCCAGCGTAGTATAATTCGGATTTCCTTCCAAAACCCTTAAAATAAATATAGAGAAACTTCCTTTTTACGTCCATTTATTTGTAAAAGAAAAAGCTGTACAGTCATTGTTAACAGAAGGCTTTAAATGAACACATTTTTTGCAGTATTAACACATGGACCACAGTATCTATAGTTCAGATAGGGAGGCGTGTGGCGCAGTGGGTTAGTGCACCGATCTTCGAATCAGAGGATAGCAAGTTCAAACCCCACTGCAGTCAGCATGTCGTTGTGTCCCTGAGACACTTCACCCCAAATTGCTCGTGTGGGGATTGTCCACAGTGTTGAGTATGTAAGTCGCTTTGGATAAAAGCGTCTAACAAGTAACATGTGATGTATTCAGCGAAAGAGTTTTCTTTGCTTTAATGCAATTTCCACAGGTGACTGGCTGGGTCCACTGTACAGCGGCCGTTTGCAATGCTTCCATACGACCAGAGTGATGCGAGCCACCAACATAATGCAGGAAATAGCGAGGATCACAGCTGTTAGAGGAGGAAGAGGAGATTAAGTATCAGAAATTGTGTGTTGTTTTAACTTCTCGCTGTTTTAAAGGTCCCATGGCCATTTCTACTGATCATAATTCCATAGTTCAGGTCTACTAGAATAGATTTACATTGTGCATTGTTCCAAACTCACATTGGTTTCTCACAGCATCTCTATATAGTCTGTGATTCACTCTCTGTCCTACACGGCTTGTTGGAGCTCCTGCCCCCCCCCCCCCATCCCTGAGCCCAGTGTGCTCTGATTGGTCGGGACGTTGCGAGGCTCGCTGCTCAGTGAGCTGGCTTACTGGTGTGGTTCCGGGTTCGGCGATACAGCGATACAGCGAGACAGCGCGAAACTCATCCTGAGCACACAACACACACCACACACACACACCACACACACACACACACACACACACACACACAACACACACACAACACACACACATACACACACACACACACACACTCACACACACACACACACACACACCACACACAACACACACACACACACACACACACACAACACACCCCACACACACACCACACACACACACACACCCGAAGTAAACACAATAAGTGTGGCTTGATACTGAGTAAGAAAAAGGTTTATAACGCTGTGAGAATGGGTCTGCGGAGAGCATTTCTCCACCATCCCAACTCGTCTATTACCAACCAGGGAGCTCTATGCAAGTCAATGGGACTCCCTGTTAGTTGAACATTTATGCTAAAGGTCCTGGTGTGTGAGGAGCTCCGCGGATTGGTCCATTTTGGTCCCGGGAACCGCATGACAACAAATGGATAAAGAGAAATGTCCAACGAGGCGTTCTGGGGCAGCACAGACAGGTCTTCTCTGTGTTAGAGTTTTACTCGCTACAGGGTGCACTTTGAGGGTTTGTGACTCTGCAGACCGTTTACATGCAGAACAACCTTCATAACACAAGGGGACGGGTAAGAACCAGAAAAGAATGACATGGGACCTTTAAAGGTCACCTGTTATGCAAAATCCACTATTTCATGTCTTTTCTACACAACATGTGTCCCCTCCAGAGGTCGCGTTAACCGAATATTTTCCGTCTATGACGGATTTTTTTTAACAATGACGGAAAAATCTGAAAGCCGTCCGTCATTTTGAGAGATTAGAACAAACTCAGAACAGCGCCGAAGTTTCCCCGCAGCGGTATTATGCCGTGTTATGTATGCCCGCCCAAAAGGAAATTATATCGTTTCCAAACCTAACTTTGCCGAACAGATCAACAAAAGTATTTGCTTTACGCTTTGCGCATGCATAACACGGCGCTAACAGATCACGAGCGAGCGTCCACCCCCCGTTGACAGTTCACGAGCGTGCTCTCTCCGCCCCCCAGCCCCCCGGCAGGGTTGTGTACAGGCCGACGGGTAATAATGATTTTGACGGAAATGTTGCGATCCTGTCCGTCAAAATGACAAAGTCTAGCGCTACCTCTGGTCCCCTCTGTGTGAAGAGACTCTGAAAGTTTCAGGAACAAAGATTCTCTCTCTTTTTGATCCATTTCTATAAAAACCTGTCTGAAAATGAGCTGATCAGATTTTGGCCACTTGATGATGTCATAACGATGTGTTGGCTTGTGTAACCATTAGCCAATCAGCAACCAAGGTACCCCCCCCCCCCCTTATCACCTGAATCTCCTCCTAGAGCACCATTGAGTTCTTTGTAACCAGATCTCTCTCAGAGGGGCGTGGGGAGGGGCTCCTTCTTTTCATCTGAAGCAGTGTTTCTCAAAGTGTGTATATCTGAGACCTGTAATATTTTGATGAAAAACAGTATAATAGGAGACCTTTAAATGTCAAACAGTACCTTCAAAGATGTAAATGTCACTTTGAGTAGTGGCAGAGTTTTCCAGAGTGCCTGTCAGCCACAGGATCACCACGGGGTAGATGGTAACGATATATCGCACATGCTCGTCAACGTAGAAGTTCTCTAACAGGAACCTGGGAGTCACAGACAGAGGGGGGAAGTAGTAGAGTGCAAATACTTCGTTACTGTACTTAAGTACATTTTTAAATACACTTTACTCCACTACTTATTTTTCTGACGACTTTTACTTCTTACATTTTGAACACAAATAACTGTACTTTCTACTTCTTACATGTTGAACTCAAATACCTGTACTTTCTACTTCTCACATGTTGAACTCAAATACCTGTACTTTCTACTTCTTACATGTTGAACGCAAATACCTGTACTTTCTACTTCTCACATGTTGAACTCAAATACCTGTACTTTCTACTTCTTACATGTTGAACTCAAATACCTGTACTTTCTACTTCTTACATGTTGAACTCAAATACCTGTACTTTCTACTTCTTACATGTTGAACCCAAATACCTGTACTTTCTACTTCTTACATGTTGAACACAAATACCTGTACTTTCTACTTCTTACATGTTGAACACAAATACCTGTACTTTCTACTTCTTACACTTTGAACACAAATACCTGTACTTTCTACTTCTTACATGTTGAACACAAATACCTGTACTTTCTACTTCTTACATGTTGAACACAAATACCTGTACTTTCTACTTCTTACATGTTGAACACAAATACCTGTACTTTCTACTTCTTACACTTTGAACTCAAATACCTGTACTTTCTACTTCTTACATGTTGAACCCAAATACCTGTACTTTCTACTTCTTACATGTTGAACTCAAATACCTGTACTTTCTACTTCTTACACTTTGAACACAAATACCCTGTACTTTCTACTTCTTACATGTTGAACTCAAATACCTGTACTTTCTACTTCTTACACTTTGAACACAAATACCTGTACTTTCTACTTCTTACATGTTGAACTCAAATACCTGTACTTTCTACTTCTCACATATTGAACTCAAATACCTGTACTTTCTACTTCTTACATGTTGAACTCAAATACCTGTACTTTCTACTTCTCACATGTTGAACACAAATACCTGTACTTTCTACTTCTTACATGTTGAACACAAATACCTGTACTTTCTACTTCTTACACTTTGAACACAAATACCTGTACTTTCTACTTCTCACATGTTGAACACAAATACCTGTACTTTCTACTTCTTACATGTTGAACACAAATACCTGTACTTTCTACTTCTTACATGTTGAACACAAATACCTGTACTTTCTACTTCTTACACTTTGAACACAAATACCTGTACTTTCTACTTCTCACATGTTGAACACAATACCTGTACTTTCTACTTCTTACATGTTGAACTCAAATACCTGTACTTTCTACTTCTTACATGTTGAACTCAAATACCTGTACTTTCTACTTCTCTCATTTCCCAAACAGCTGGTTCCTTTAGTCTGAATGTGTGTTTGATGCGTGATCATTATTCTTTAGAGTCATTGCGTGCCTATTGATTTGAACACGATCCGTGTATCCATCATTTCCTGGTCTTCTCTAAAGAAGAGGGACCAATGGAAACGTTGTCATGTTGCCGTTGTTCAGCATGGAAACATTCATTAGCTAACAATGACATTATTGTTCTATTAATATAAAGGGAGGTCAGGTACTCTTTAAAGCAGCTGCTAGTTATGGGTACTTTTTACTGAAGTACATTTCAAAGCCTCTTTACTTTGACTTGAGGAAAGAAGTTTAGTCAGAGTATTTTTAAACACGAGTATCTGTACTTACTTGAGTAAAGGATGTGTGTACTTTTGCCATATCTGGTCACAGACAGATAGCAGCAGGGGGTCAGACTCACCAGACCAACAGCTCCATCAGAAGCAGCAGCAGCGCCAGCATCGCACATTCACATTTAGACGTTTCTGTCTGATGCTGCAAGAACATCGTCAGGTTCAGCAGAGTGGAGAGAGTCCCCCATGTAGCATATACTGCCCCAACATTCTGTACCTGAATCAAGGAGAGAATGATATCAGTATGTAGTGTCTCTACTTTAAAGAGTCCTCTCCTGCTGATGTTCAGGTGTATATCAGTATGTAGTGTCTCTACTTTAAAGAGTCCTCTCCTGCTGATGTTCAGGTGTATATCAGTATGTAGCGTCTCTACTTTAAAGAGTCCTCTCCTGCTGATGTTCAGGTGTATATCAGTATGTAGTGTCTTTACTTTAAAGAGTCCTCTCCTGCTGATTTTCAGGTGTATATCAATATGTAGTGTCTCTACTTTAAAGAGTCCTCTCCTGCTGATGTTCAGGTGTATATCAGTATGTAGCGTCTCTACTTTAAAGAGTCCTCTCCTGTGATGTTCAGGTGTATATCAGTATGTAGTGTCTCTACTTTAAAGAGTCCTCTCCTGCTGATGTTCAGGTGCATATCAGTATGTAGTGTCTCTACTTTAAAGAGTCCTCTCCTGCTGATGTTCAGGTGTATATCAGTATGTAGTGTCTCTACTTTAAAGAGTCCTCTCCTGCTGATGTTCAGGTGCATATCAGTATGTAGTGTCTCTACTTTAAAGAGTCCTCTCCTGCTGATGTTCAGGTGTATATCAGTATGTAGCGTCTCTACTTTAAAGAGTCCTCTCCTGCTGATGTTCAGGTGTATATCAGTATGTAGCGTCTCTACTTTAAAGAGTCCTCTCCTGCTGATGTTCAGGTGTATATCAGTATGCAGTGTCTCTACTTTAAAGAGTCCTCTCCTGCTGATGTTCAGGTGTATATCAGTATGTAGTGTCTCTACTTTAAAGAGTCCTCTCCTGCTGATGTTTAGGTGTATATCAGTATGTAGTGTCTCTACTTTAAAGAGTCCTCTCCTGCTGATGTTCAGGTGTATATCAGTATGTAGTGTCTCTACTTTAAAGAGTCCTCTCCTGCTGATGTTCAGGTGTATATCAGTATGTAGCGTCTCTACTTTAAAGAGTCCTCTCCTGCTGATGTTCAGGTGTATATCAGTATGTAGTGTCTTTACTTTAAAGAGTCCTCTCCTGCTGATTTTCAGGTGTATATCAATATGTAGTGTCTCTACTTTAAAGAGTCCTCTCCTGCTGATGTTCAGGTGTATATCAGTATGTAGCGTCTCTACTTTAAAGAGTTCCTCTCCTGTGATGTTCAGGTGTATATCAGTATGTAGTGTCTCTACTTTAAAGAGTCCTCTCCTGCTGATGTTCAGGTGCATATCAGTATGTAGTGTCTCTACTTTAAAGAGTCCTCTCCTGCTGATGTTCAGGTGTATATCAGTATGTAGTGTCTCTACTTTAAAGAGTCCTCTCCTGCTGATGTTCAGGTGCATATCAGTATGTAGTGTCTCTACTTTAAAGAGTCCTCTCCTGCTGATGTTCAGGTGTATATCAGTATGTAGCGTCTCTACTTTAAAGAGTCCTCTCCTGCTGATGTTCAGGTGTATATCAGTATGTAGCGTCTCTACTTTAAAGAGTCCTCTCCTGCTGATGTTCAGGTGTATATCAGTATGCAGTGTCTCTACTTTAAAGAGTCCTCTCCTGCTGATGTTCAGGTGTATATCAGTATGTAGTGTCTCCTACTTTAAAGAGTCCTCTCCTGCTGATGTTCAGGTGTATATCAGTATGTAGTGTCTCTACTTTAAAGAGTCCTCTCCTGCTGATGTTCAGGTGTATATCAGTATGTAGTGTCTCTACTTTAAAGAGTCCTCTCATGCTGATGTTCAGGTGTATATCAGTATGTAGTGTCTCTACTTTAAAGAGTCCTCTCCTGCTGATGTTCAGGGTGTATATCAGTATGTAGTGTCTCTACTTTAAAGAGTCCTCTCCTGCTGATGTTCAGGTGCATATCAGTATATAGTGTCTCTACTTTAAAGAGTCCTCTCCTGCTGATGTTCAGGTGTATATCAGTATGTAGTGTCTCTACTTTAAAGAGTCCTCTCCTGCTGATGTTCAGGTGTATATCAGTATGTAGCGTATCTACTTTAAAGGAGTCCTCTCCTGCTGATGTTTCAGGTGGTATATCAGTATGTAGTGTCTTTACTTTAAAGAGTCCTCTCCTGCTGATTTTCAGGTGTATATCAATATGTAGTGTCTCTACTTTAAAGAGTCCTCTCCTGCTGATGTTCAGGTGTATATCAGTATGTAGCGTCTCTACTTTAAAGAGTCCTCTCCTGTGATGTTCAGGTGTATATCAGTATGTAGTGTCTCTACTTTAAAGAGTCTTCTCCTGCTGATGTTCAGGTGCATATCAGTATGTAGTGTCTCTACTTTAAAGAGTCCTCTCCTGCTGATGTTCAGGTGTATATCAGTATGTAGTGTCTCTACTTTAAAGAGTCCTCTCCTGCTGATGTTCAGGTGCATATCAGTATGTAGCGTCTCTACTTTAAAGAGTCCTCTCCTGCTGATGTTCAGGTGTATATCAGTATGTAGCGTCTCTACTTTAAAGAGTCCTCTCCTGCTGATGTTCAGGTGTATATCAGTATGTAGCGTCTCTACTTTAAAGAGTCCTCTCCTGCTGATGTTCAGGTGTATATCAGTATGCAGTGTCTCTACTTTAAAGAGTCCTCTCCTGCTGATGTTCAGGTGTATATCAGTATGTAGTGTCTCTACTTTAAAGAGTCCTCTCCTGCTGATGTTCAGGTGTATATCAGTATGTAGTGTCTCTACTTTAAAGAGTCCTCTCCTGCTGATGTTCAGGTGTATATCAGTATGTAGTGTCTCTACTTTAAAGAGTCCTCTCATGCTGATGTTCAGGTGTATATCAGTATGTAGTGTCTCTACTTTAAAGAGTCCTCTCCTGCTGATGTTCAGGTGTATATCAGTATGTAGTGTCTCTACTTTAAAGAGTCCTCTCCTGCTGATGTTCAGGTGCATATCAGTATATAGTGTCTCTACTTTAAAGAGTCCTCTCCTGCTGATGTTCAGGTGTATATCAGTATGTAGTGTCTCTACTTTAAAGAGTCCTCTCATGCTGATGTTCAGGTGTATATCAGTATGTAGTGTCTCTACTTTAAAGAGTCCTCTCCTGCTGATGTTCAGGTGTATATCAGTATGTAGTGTCTCTACTTTAAAGAGTCCTCTCCTTCTGATGTTCAGGTGTATATCAGTATGTAGTGTCTCTACTTTAAAGAGTCCTCTCCTGCTGATGTTCAGGTGTATATCAGTATGTAGTGTCTCTACTTTAAAGAGTCCTCTCCTGCTGATGTTCAGGTGTATATCAGTATGTAGTGTCTCTACTTTAAAGAGTCCTCTCCTGCTGATGTTCAGGTGTATATCAGTATGTAGTGTCTCTACTTTAAAGAGTCCTCTCCTGCTGATGTTCAGGTGTATATCAGTATGTAGTGTCTCTACTTTAAAGAGTCCTCTCATGCTGATGTTCAGGTGTATATCAGTATGTAGTGTCTCTACTTTAAAGAGTCCTCTCCTGCTGATGTTCAGGTGTATATCAGTATGTAGTGTCTCTACTTTAAAGAGTCCTCTCCTGCTGATGTTCAGGTGTATATCAGTATGTAGTTGTCTCTACTTTAAGAGTCCTCTCCTGCTGATGTTCAGGTGTATATCAGTATGTAGTGTCTCTACTTTAAAGAGTCCTCTCCTGCTGATGTTCAGGTGTATATCAGTATGTAGTGTCTCTACTTTAAAGAGTCCTCTCCTGCTGATGTTCAGGTGTATATCAGTATGTAGTGTCTCTACTTTAAAGAGTCCTCTCCTGATGATGTTCAGGTGTATATCAGTATGTAGTGTCTCTACTTTAAAGAGTCCTCTCCTGCTGATGTTCAGGTGTATATCAGTATGTAGTGTCTCTACTTTAAAGAGTCCTCTCCTGATGATGTTCAGGTGTATATCAGTATGTAGTGTCTCTACTTTAAAGAGTCCTCTCCTGCTGATGTTCAGGTGTATATCAGTATGTAGTGTCTCTACTTTAAAAGAGTCCTCTCCTGCTGATGTTCAGATGTATATCAGTATGTAGTGTCACTACTTTAAAGAGTCCTCTCCTGCTGATGTTCAGGTGTATATCAGTATGTAGTGTCTCTACTTAAAGAGTCCTCTCCTGCTGATGTTCAGGTGTATATCAGTACGTAGTGTCTCTACTTTAAAGAGTCCTCTCCTGCTGGTGTTCAGGTGTATATCAGTATGTAGTGTCTCTACTTTAAAGAGTCCTCTCCTGCTGATGTTCAGGGTGTATATCAGTATGTAGTGTCTCTACTTTAAAGAGTCCTCTCCTGCTGATGTTCAGGTGTATATCAGTATGTAGTGTCTCTACTTTAAAGAGTCCTCTCCTGCTGATGTTCAGGTGTATATCAGTATGTAGTGTCTCTACTTTAAGAGTCCTCTCCTGCTGATGTTCAGGTGTATATCAGTATGTAGTGTCTCTACTTTAAAGAGTCCTCTCCTGCTGATGTTCAGGTGTATATCAGTATGTAGTGTCTCTACTTAAAGAGTCATTCATGTACAATGTGTTGGAGTGCTAGCCAGTGGTGCATAAACAAATCCTAAAACCCAGAAATAACTTTCACCACTTCCTGTTCGCTCTTCTCAATCTTTTGAACTTTTGGATTTAGCCTTTTTCAGACCATTTACATGCATAAACCTATAGCTCACACTGCATTGAAAAGAAACCCAAAAAGCACAACATGGCCTCTCAAAAAGCATGTCAATATAAATATCCTCCAAATCCTGAAGACTTTGCGAGATACTCTGACTGCTCTAAGTGCTGCACAGGATGCTGCTGGTGTGTCACATGACCTTATCTGTGTTCTTTAATGTGAAGAGCAAAGCAGAGGGAACCAATCTGGAGGTTTTGCTGCAGCTTCCTCTAAACCTCCTAATCTCAGTCGGTCACCTTGTGCACGGCTTTACTCTGGACGTGTCGGAGAAAATTCACTCTTTAGATATGGGTGGTGGAGGAGCAGCTTCTTTAACCTCACAGTGAGTCAGCAGTAAGGGAGACTTAACAAATGCAAGGCTACCAACTGACTGATAACATGTCACTTTAAAGAAAGTAGTTTGACCATTTCAGAAATCTTTTTTTACTCCGAGAGTTGGTTGAGAGAACTGTCACCACTCTCATGTCTGCATATGTGAAGCAATAGCTAATGATAGCTAATAGCACAATTAACCTAGCACCTCTAAAGCTAACTTTACTCAATGTTTTATATGCAAGTATGTCTCTTGGCCAATTTCCCAGAGTCCTTTTGTGATTGTGTGATTGCCAGGCAAACAGAAAGGAAGCACCAAGACGAGAAATAGTCCTGCAATTACCTGTGTCTTTGTGTGTATTTTAAACAATTAAACAAAGGTGACAGCAGGTGTTCATTGGTGGGGTCTAGGAGATTTGGGTGGATTTTGGTTGTTGTTACCATTGGATAAAAACAACTGTTTACCCCTGGTCTTTATGTTAAGCTAATTAGCTGCAGATGTACCGTTATTTAATGTTAAAGTCATTCCTAATCCACATAAGAAAAGCATGTTGTGCTCTTTGCAACACAAGGGGGATTAAAACACAGTTAATGTTTAAGTATAGCAAAGGTTAAATGGTAGTCTGATGAAAGCCAGAGCTAAAACATGTCCTTAATTAACCTTAACTGGAGAAGCAGCGTTCAGTTATTATGCTCCAAATATCTGGAACCAACTCCCAGAAACCTGCAGGTCCGCTGCAACTCTGACTACTTTTAAATCCAGACTGAAGACTTTTCTTTTTGCCGCTGCTTTTAATTGAACTATTCACATCTTAAACTGCACTGTAACTTTGATCCATGTATTTTTTCTTTTAATGTTTATTTTATTATCTTGACTGATTTTAAATGCCATTTTCTTAATGTCTTTCATTTTTGTAAAGCACTTTGAATTACCTTGTGTTGAAAGGTGCTATATAAATAAACTTGCCTTGCCTTAACTACACTCTAACTCCAAAGAACACCATGTTTTTACTAGCGTTGTAATTGCAGCGTCTATAAACCAAACACTTCCAACCTTTTTTAACATGTTATTCCCTTTGAAGCCGTGCTGTGATGCAACAAAAATAATAAATGTCAAAGTCCGAACATCAGGAATGTTCCTATAAAACAATCGTTACCAGTATCCTGATGAGCCAGAGGTCTGTGTTGTGATATTTGTTCAGCCAGGCTCCGTAGATCTTCAGTCCATAGCAGGAGAAAAACAGGATCAGGTAGTGGCTGAGCGTCATGAATATGGAGGTTATCAGCACCGGCAGTAACAACCTACAGACAAGCAGATGTTAAAACTGCACAAGAGCATACAAATACATCATGCTTATTAGAAATAGACGACCAGAACTCACACACTCACTCTCTGTCAAGCAGAAACAACCACATAATGTTCAGGCAGTTCTTGATGATGAGAGAGACGTGAAATCCATAAGGCAGCACTGCAGGTGTGGTGTACAGCCAATCATACGCCGTCCTGCGGGGAAGCAAGGGTAATATTGGATACAACACACGAACAAAATGCGCCTGTCGGGAAATAATCTTTCATAAGTCAGAGCAACTGTTACTTTCTGGGCTTTTCCCTCTCCTGTAGTGAGTTCTATAGGTTTTAGTGCATGTAAATGGTCTGCAGACGCTAAAATCCCTGTGTTCTCCTCCATTGGACTCCTTTGTTTACTTCTGGAACATACTGACATCACAATGGAACACTTGCGCTCCTATTGGCTAGAGCTCCAACACATTGTATTTGATAGTTTAAGGGGCGGGACATCTCTAAGCGGTTGACCAATCACAACAGAGCTCTTGTTTTGGTTAGGAACATCCAAATATGGAGCTAATTTCAGGATGAAGTTATTTCTAATCAACGTTGCCTTTACACATTTTTGCAATTATCTCTCTTCGATTAGATATTATATTTGTCATTTTAATGTTTTTTATGCTTTACTGTCTTTTTTTAATGTTAGTTTTGATATGTTTTTTCCTGTTATTAGATAATAAATACATTTCTGAAAGCTGTGTTGTTTTGTAGTTTCAATCTTTGTTAAAAAAAGATTGTTTTTCGTGATATCGGCACTTTTTTAACAACTCCATAAAATGATATCGTTGACAGAACAAATCAGATTTCCGGTACACATCGAGCAGCGACAGTAGCTATTAAACATTTCAATTTATTGTAGATGATGTGTGAAAACACGACAGATTGCACTACCTTCTGCAGAGTCCCACTAAGAAGTATATGTACATGGCAAACATCCAAACATATAGGAAGTCCCACACAAACAGAGCCCACTGAGCAGGAGTTAAGGGGGTCGTATACTTCACTGTCACATCCTCTGTTGACTGCTTGAAAACGCCTGTGTTGAAATAGGCACAGTTTAGTATTTAAAACCATCATATTGTGCACAAAACAACTGATTTGGAGTATCTGATATCACTCACCTGATTTTGCCCCGAATCCAGATAGAGAGTTAAACGTAATTGAGACTAAAAAGGAGAAAAATCCAGCGAACATGAGCACAACGCGGGCCAAGCTGTGGTTCACCATGGTGATGGTCGCAGGTCAAAGTCCACACAGGGTATTTACAACCACTTTTACACCAAATATAACAAAATCACTCGTTTCTAGATATGTGAAAATCCACAGTTAGATCCATCCGCTTCAATAGTAAATCCAGGAGTCTGAAAAAAGGGACTGAAAGCACCTATCATTATGGTTTGCAATTATATGCTATAAATGGTGTCATCCCTTTTTATTGCCCTGCACTCATATTCTGTTATCTCTCCCGGTCATAAACAACCTGCTGGTTAAAGGGTAAAGAGTCAAAAGGGCAGTGGGAAGAGCATCATGACATCATTCAAACTAACTACATGTTTTTAAATCAGCAGGATGACCTGGATTGTCGCAAGTAAGCAAATATAGGGATGTCATTCTGTAAATAATAATAATAATAATGTAAATGTGGCATTTATTGAGTGTAAAGTCGTTCAGAGCGTAGTTAGAACACAAATCTATTTTACGTACCATTTATGTCAGGGGTGTCAAACTCCATTTCATCTCGGGCCACATTAACATTATGGATGCACTCAAAGGGCCGGTTGTAACTTTAAGACTATATAAAAAGACATATATAAATATTCAATATATATAAAATAACGTATTATATTACATTATTGCCTCTGCATTGGATTATTTTCGGATAGGGTAATAACTTCATAATTAACTACGTCTGAAAGCAGAAGTCTAGGGCAAATAATTGCAAGTCTTTTCAGTGAGAATGTCACAAAATGATTTAAGAAGAAAAGTCAAATTCTGGGAAAAAAAGAAAGTGACATTTTGAAAAAAAGGTAAATTCTGAGAAAAATGTAACATTTGAGATGCATTGTGGGACATGTAGTTTATGGGCAACGTGCTTCAGTAAATCGGCATTTAACCGTATAATAAACATATTATATTCTTTGCAAGCTCTTGTGGGGCCACAGAAAATGAAGTCACGGGCCGGATTTGGCCCCCCTGATTTATGTATTTAATATCAATACTTTTTAAGGAGTTATAACCTCAGTTTACCCGGAAATATAAATTCAGTTATTTTTTGTATTTATTTTTATTTTATTTCTAATTTAACTTCAAGAAAAATCACTCACACAAAAATGTAATTATGCAAAAAAAGAAATTGAGCATGAATGCATTGCTAAGTATTTCCAGCATTTAAAGAAACTATATGGTCAATAATATAACTTATGGCCCACAGTGAAAGTGTAAATTAACTGCAGGTGTGTGTGTGTGTGTGTGTGTGTGTGCGTGTGCGTGTGTGTGCGTGTGTGTGTGTGTGTGTGTGTGTGTGTGTGTGTGTGTGTGTGTGTGTGCACCTGCAGGTGTGTGTGCAGCTTTCCTCCACACAGGGGCGCTGTTGCCTGAGTCTCTTGAGACAGTATGGTCAATGTATTTTTTATTTACCTGTTAGTGAGTTCTACATGTCCTCTTGATAATTAAACATTTAAGTATAACTACGTTTCTCTACACTCTGGTTTCACTACTTTTACTTAAGTTAAAGAGCTTTTTGATGCACAGTCTCATGCTTTTAAATAATTGAAACCAACTTGAATCACTCAGTCTTGTGTCCCCTGTACATATAATCCAGTTATTCTGTGTTTGTGGACACTGCAGCTAAAGTTCAACCTCTCTAAAGGGGGCACTCAACCCAGGAAACCCCCACGCTGGTTTCCTCACCCGGCACACCAGATGCTGCCACGTGGTCTACTTAGGCTCTGCAATAATTAATGCACAGCTCGGATTAAAGGGTTTTATGGAGTCTTGCGCTCAAATATGTGGAAGTGTGGATGCAGAATGAGTCATAACACATGTGGGAGAAACAGCTCTTATGAAGTCAACAGTCTCTCTTCAGTGTGCGCGGCTACATTTACCAAAAGATCACTTAACACTGCTGTTGACTTTTAAAATATTCAGCTTTATTTCTGATGTGGTAATCCCACATTGTGTCTGCATGGCTCTTTTAAGTCCACTGACTGATTGCTGTGACCCGTAATGCTGGCAGAGGACAAGGCCCAATTTGTCGGCTGTTCGTCATCTAATAACCAAAATCATATCCAATTACACGCCCGCCATCTTTGATCACGTACACTATGAGAGATATGTGCACGAGGGGTATTATAGAGGATCACTGTCACTTTGGTAGCACATTATGATTCACTCTATGACTCATGTAGGGCTTGGCAGCAGTACATTCACACAGCGATAATGTCCAAACTCGGGTAAATATTGAGATGTTGTCGACATTTTATTGCCAGCAAGAAAAGCAATTACCTTGACCTGACGGGGGTAAACAGAACACAGTTTGGAGATCTTGAGCGGAGGGGGAAAAAATGATAAATTGAAAAGATGTTAAAATAGTCATGCATGCCAGCAGCTTCCCTGGCATCGCTTCTGTGCAGTCGAGATTGGACAATTGGGAATGAAGCGTTTGGTAATTAGGGAGCATGACTAACAAGCTGTGTGCATTCAGAGTGTTTTATCTCCCCGAAGCCCGAGTGACTTTCACGCTTTCAGCTTTTTTGGGGGGTGACATTTGCACATCCCTCTAGAACCGTGACCAATAGTGGCGCTCTGTGCCAACTAGATTACAAATGAGGTTGGCAAAGGACAACAAAGGTGAATGTTGGATATTATCCTCTGAATGACATGAAGTCCTGAAACTGTAATTTAGACATTATTGATAAATCTCTTCAGTGTGCAGAACCGTGGTATTGCTGCTGTCACTGGAAATCAGGTTTGGACGTATAGGATAACTGGAGGTGTGTAAATGTACAATTATTTCTCAATGTCAATACTTTCCTGTCACCCTATAGGTGCTGAAAGTGGAGTGTGAAGGCAGGAGATCACAGGAAGCTTCAGACAAGCCAGGTGATGTTGGAATAAATCCTATATTAGACATTATATCCCATTAATCCCATCATCAGGACATATTCTGCTGATGTTCAGGTGTATATCAGTATGTAGTGTCTCTACTTTAAAGAGTCCTCTCCTGCTGATGTTCAGGTGTATATCAGTATGTAGTGTCTCTACTTTAAAGAGTCCTCTCCTGCTGATGTTCAGGTGTATATCAGTATGTAGTGTCTACTTTAAAGAGTCCTCTCCTGCTGATGTTCAGGTGTATATCAGTATGTAGTGTCTCTACTTTAAAGAGTCCTCTCCTGCTGATGCTCAGGTGTATATCAGTATGTAGTGTCTCTACTTTAAAGAGTCCTCTCCTGTTGATGTTCAGGTGTATATCAGTATGTAGTGTCTCTACTTTAAAGAGTCCTCTCCTGTTGATGTTCAGGTGTATATCAGTATGTAGTGTCTCTACTTTAAAGAGTCCTCTCCTGTTGATGTTCAGGTGTATATCAGTATGTAGTGTCTCTACTTTAAAGAGTCCTCTCCTGCTGATGTTCAGGTGTATATCAGTATGTAGTGTCTCTACTTTAAAGAGTCCTCTCCTGTTGATGTTCAGGTGTATATCAGTATGTAGTGTCTCTACTTTAAAGAGTCCTCTCCTGTTGATGTTCAGGTGTATATCAGTATGTAGTGTCTCTACTTTAAAGAGTCCTCTCCTGTTGATGTTCAGGTGTATATCAGTATGTAGTGTCTCTACTTTAAAGAGTCCTCTCCTGCTGATGATCAGGTGTATATCAGTATGTAGTGTCTCTACTTTAAAGAGTCCTCTCCTGCTGATGTTCAGGTGTATATCAGTATGTAGAGTCTCTACTTTAAAGAGTCCTCTCCTGCTGATGTTCAGGTGTATATCAGTATGTAGTGTCTCTACTTTAAAGAGTCCTCTCCTGTTGATGTTCAGGTGTATATCAGTATGTAGTGTCTCTACTTTAAAGAGTCCTCTCCTGCTGATGTTCAGGTGTATATCAGTATGTAGTGTCTCTACTTTAAAGAGTCCTCTCCAGCTGATGTTCAGGTGTATATCAGTATGTAGTGTCTCTACTTTAAAGAGTCCTCTCCAGCTGATGTTCAGGTGTATATCAGTATGTAGTGTCTCTACTTTAAAGAGTCCTCTCCTGCTGATGTTCAGGTGTATATCAGTATGTAGTGTCTCTACTTTAAAGAGTCCTCTCCTGCTGATGTTCAGGTGTATATCAGTATGTAGTCTCTCTACTTTAAAGAGTCCTCTCCTGCTGATGTTCAGGTGTATATCAGTATGCAGTGTCTCTACTTTAAAGAGTCCTCTCCTGCTGATGTTCAGGTGTATATCAGTATGTAGAGTCTCTACTTTAAAGAGTCCTCTCCTGCTGATGTTCAGGTGTATATCAGTATGTAGTGTCTCTTCTTTAAAGAGTCCTCTCCTGCTGATGTTCAGGTGTATATCAGTATGTAGTGTCTCTTCTTTAAAGAGTCCTCTCCTGCTGATGTTCAGGTGTATATCAGTATGTAGTCTCTCTACTTTAAAGAGTCCTCTCCTGCTGATGTTCAGGTGTATATCAGTATGTAGTGTCTCTACTTTAAAGAGTCCTCTCCTGCTGATGTTCAGGTGTATATCAGTATGCAGTGTCTCTACTTTAAAGAGTTCTCTCCTGCTGATGTTCAGGTGTATATCAGTATGTAGTGTCTCTACTTTAAAGAGTCCTCTCCTGCTGATGTTCAGGTGTATATCAGTAGTGTCTCTACTTTAAAGAGTCCTCTCCTGCTGATGTTCAGGTGTATATCAGTATGTAGTGTTTCTACTTTAAAGAGTCCTCTCCTGCTGATGTTCAGGTGTATATCAGTATGTAGTGTCTCTACTTTAAAGAGTCCTCTCCTGCTGATGTTCAGGTGTATATCAGTATGTAGTTTCTCTACTTTAAAGAGTCCTCTCCTGCTGATGTTCAGGTGTATATCAGTAGTGTCTCTACTTTAAAGAGTCCTCTCCTGCTGATGTTCAGGTGTATATCAATATGTAGTGTCTCTACTTTAAAGAGTCCTCTCCTGCTGATGTTCAGGTGTATATCAGTATGTAGTGGCTCTACTTTAAAGAGTCCTCTCCTGCTGATGTTCAGGTGTATATCAGTATGTAGTGTCTCTACTTTAAAGAGTCCTCTCCTGCTGATGTTCAGGTGTATATCAGTATGTAGTGTCTCTACTTTAAAGAGTCCTCTCCTGCTGATGTTCAGGTGTATATCAGTATGTAGTGTCTCTACTTTAAAGAGTCCTCTCCTGCTGATGTTCAGTTGTATATCAGTATGTAGTGTCTCTAATTTAAAG